CAAAAAAGAGGTTCCTAAACAAGAAAGCACTAACCAATCCAATTTCCTATTTTTCCTCTCTGTTTCCCCACCAGAACCGGGCGACCCTCCCCGCCTGCCGGTAAAGTGCGCCCTGCGGAAGCACAAGAGCAACCGCAAGCCGCGGACGCCCTTCACCACGCAGCAGCTGCTGGCGCTGGAGCGCAAGTTTCGCTCCAAGCAGTACCTCTCCATTGCCGAACGGGCCGAGTTCAGCAACTCGCTCTCGCTGACGGAGACGCAGGTGAAGATCTGGTTTCAGAATCGACGTGCTAAAGAAAAGGTACGTGCACAGTCGCTCAACAGTCTGCTGATCCGACAGCTGTCCGCTGAGCCTAACCTCCTTTCTCGCTTCTCCTCCTCTTGTGCACCTCAATCTCACCCTCACCCTCTTCAATTCTCTTCTGCACATTAAATAGCGCCTAAAAGAAGCGGAAATCGAGAAGCTGCGCCTCTCCACCCGTCCCTTCGGCCCCGGACCCTTTGGCCCCTTCGGCGTGGCGGGCATTCCTGGGGGGCACCACCCTCATCCTCATCCTCACCACCCGCACTTTGGGCCAGTGGGCGGTTTCAATGGCAACAGCATAGCGGCGACCGTGGCCGCCGCCCTTCAGCAGCAGCAGANTTCAATGGCAACAGCATAGCGGCCACGGTGGCAGCCGCCCTTCAGCAACAGCAGCAGCAGCAGAATGGGCAGCAAAGTGGAGCAGTCCCTAATCACCACCACCACTTCTCCTCACCCCCGCCCTCCTCGCTGGTGGTGACGCCGCCGCACTCGGGTGGATCGCTGGCATCGGCAGCAGCAAACATCGCAGGTGAATCGACGGCAGTTGCAGCAGCAGCAGCGGCCGCTGCAAACAGTCAGGCCTCGCCGGCCTCCTCCTCCTCCTCCTCTTCCTCCAACTCTTCCGGTGGCTGCTCGCCAGCCTCGCCCTCGAAAAGCGGTCTTTCGCCTAAATCTGCAGCAAATGTCTCCAGCAGCGGCAGCATCAGNTTCCGGTGGCTCCTCGCCAGCCTCGCCCTCGAAAAGCGGCCTTTCGCCTAAATCAGCAGCAAACGTCTCCAGCAGCGGCAGCATCAGCATCGCCTGTAAATAGAGCATAATTTAGGAAAGCATATTGTCTAAACTGAAACTGCCAGACTCAGCAACTCTTTACTGACTGTGTCACACATATCCCCCTCCTCCTCTCATTGGCAATCGCATTCACAAACATTCCTATTGAATAACACATGTATTTATAGCAGCTACAATATCANCAACTCTTTACTGACTGTGTCACACATATCCCCCTCATTGGCAATCGCATTCACACACATTCCTCTTCTGAATAACACATATGTATTAATAGCAGCTACAATATCACCACCACCTAGCATCATCCTCGTCATCAGTCTGGCTGACAGTCATCTTCTCATGTCTATCCTTTCGCCATTAGTCCCTCTNCACATGTATTTATAGCAGCTACAATATCACCTAGCATCCTCGTCATCAGTCTGGCTGACAGTCATCTTCTCATCTATCCTTTCGCCATTAGTCCCTCTCTGATATTCTCCTCGGCCAGCAGATAGGCCACCACCACTGTTCGAGTGTGAAGAGAGGTTAGAGGGGAGAGACCTCTCTTTCTCCTTCTCACTCTTATGATCACGGCCATGGCCATTGTTTGCCCCGTTCTTTTGTATCTACTCTTCTCCTCTTTCTTCAGCACCTGTACTTAACCTCTACACACACACACACACAATAAGACTGTTTGCTGATCAGACACAGCTTGTATTCTACTTCT